GTCGATACGAGGTAGCTTGGGTAGACGGTGCCGTGTTCTCCTGTGGATCGTAATAATATGCGCCCACGCACGCGTGAGAGAGTGAGCGTATACGAAGCGTTCCCCGTCGTCTCCTCACCTCTGGCTTACTGTGCGCCTCGGTCAGTACCGACCCCCGACCCATCTACCCACGCCTTGTTAATGAAAACATCTTTTGTCAATGAACTGACGTCAGTCCGGCTCGGGATTGGTCCGATAGCAGACACCACGTGACCTGGCACCAATCAATGTGAAGACCAGCTTCCCCTACAATCGAGGATCCGAGCGCCATTTGCCCATTCTGGACGGAAGAACGCTCGAGGTAAGGTGTGGCCTGCAGCAGGCTGGCTAGAAGGCCACGGGTGAGAGACAGAGACAATCTATGGTGTGCTGGGAACGTTAGAGAAGAACAGACAGTTGGAAGAAAGCGAGAAGAAGATAGAAGGCCAAGACACACGAGAATCGTAGCTCGAGCTCTCTGCTGCTCTCTCCGTGACTCGGTCGAGAGTCGACAGAGAAGGAGAGACGTAAAAGAAGAAAAAAAAGAACAGGAAGTCGGTCCGGCAACCCAGGGAAGACGCGTCGAGCGATGTTGGAGGGATTTGTGAGGTGAGGGCGACGGTCTCGAGTCGCGCAGCGCCGAGATACGCGACCGATCTCCCGAACTAAGTACCTCGTTCACTCAGACTGATTTGAATCGACCGTTCACGGCAGCTCCAGTGTACAGCGCAGCATCCCTGTGTGTTGGTCAAGTCGAGAAGAAAAAGAAGCTGGATCTGAGAACGTGTTGTAGTTATGATTCTGTCGAGTTCACAGTAAAGAAAAGGGCAACGAAAGAGAAGAACGAAAGAGAGGATTTAGCGCGAGGAGAGGAACACACGTACATACACGCACTCGTCGTTTGTCCCATTGTGGAAAAAGAGAGAATAATGCCAACACGTTCTTCACAAGACGTGATGATGTCGGTTGGACTGTTGGTGTGATGTTGAGATAAACAAGCTAGAGGAAGTGTGTACTGGGAGAGCGCGTGGGATCATGCATTTGTCGGATGGGCTGAAACATTCCTCGGTTGTGGCGTTAATTGGACCTGTCGTCTTTATTTACAAAAGGATCAATAATCGAGACGAGCTGCTGGCGGTAGCAGTGGCGGAGAAGGAGGAGGAGGAGGAGTAGAAAACACGGCATCGAGGTGCCGCAGGAAGTGATGGAAACACGTGAGAAAACGTGGGATTACGACACAGATACGCGTGTATGAGGCTGGGGGAGGACGTCGAGCGTCTGGATGCCTCCAGAGAACGCGTTCTACTATACAACTCCAAGTGCCATTTCGTATTTGATAAATAATTAAGAATAGATGTACAGGACGCGTGCACGTAGGATGCGCGCGCGCGCTGAATGTACATGCACACTTGTTTCACACTGTCCACAGTTACCGATAAACATGTAGTGACAAAATTGTTGTTCCATGGGTTACGAGTCTAGGCAGATGTCACATGTGTACACTGACCATTTCACAGAAACCAATGGTACAGCGTTACTTGAAAGTGCCATACCAAGAAGGAGATTTCTTTCAACATTGTCAAGTCTCAGGTGTTTGTTTCTTTTTAAAATCCAATGGAGAACATGAGGAGATTATGTCTGTAAGGAGGGCAAGCATGCTTTAAGGAGAAAAAGGTTGAAGGCCAAAGAAGCATCAGGAATTCAGATTAAGCTTACAAAATGCCAGGTGGAAATATTATGGAAGAAGATCTGGTGGATCCTGAATGGCTATTCAGGCATCTTAGGTCACCGGATGGTCCAAACAAACTTCTCATCTTAGATTGTAGGGCACATTCTGATTTCTCTGAAGCTCATATTAGAGGCTCTGTACCCTTAGCTATACCTAGCATCATGTTAAGACGGCTAGCAGCTGGTAAAGTTGATCTGCTGTCAACAATAAGGTGCTTAGATCTAAGAAACAGAGTGGAGGTGTTCTTGTGTGGTGATGAGAATAGTAGAGGGACATTTATACTGATTGGTGACTCTACAGACCCTGCAGGACATCAGGGTGAAACAATTCAAGTTTTAAGTCGGAGACTTAGAAGTAGTGGAGGATATGTTGCTATTTTAATGGGTAAGAACAGTATATTCATAAATACATATATTTATATGATTGCACATAATATTTCCATATAGTTAGAGTAAATATGTGCTACAAGAAAAAAAAGAATATGCGTTAACTACTGTATTTTAAAAAATAAGAAGAAAATAAAAAAGAAGAAGAAATAAGTATAGCTAAAGACTATATTATAAAATATTCCAAGTTTCTACCATTATGTCTGTAGTTATATCTGCCATTAGAGAAATTTAAAAATTCATACTTAAAAGCATCTGTGAATGAAATATTTATTTGTACAAAAAATATTGATGTCCATCTAATTACATCTTGTAGTTATGCCAAATTTCTTTTGTTATTCAATAAAAAACATTTTTGTTTCATTCATTTACTACTCAGTATTTTTTATTTCTATTATATTTTCTTTCATATTTTTGCATAGCTATGACTTTAAATTATTTATACTCATACAAATCCTTTATTTCATTTTCTGTTACAGATGGTTTTGGAGCATTCAGAGATAGATACCCTGAATGGTGTGAGGGTAGTCAAGCCAGTGGTGAAGGTCCCCCAGGTCAGGATTCTAATGACGGTGAATTAATGGGTCTCAGGTCCCTTCGAATTTCCACACCACCTACGAGATCATATTCAGATTCTGATAGCGATAGCACGTGTGATTCTGTTGGTTAGTAAGTCATACAAACTCTTTTACTACATAAAATACAAAGTAAGAAATGTTAAAGTTGTTTCATGTTTTTTTTAGGACCTGAAGAGGATAAAGATTTTCCAGTTGAAATTCTACCCCATTTGTACCTTGGAAATGCAGCGAATAGCGAAGACAGGGAAGCCTTGGCACGTCATAGAATACAGTACATTCTGAACGTAACCCCAGATTTGCCAAATGTATTTGAAAGCGCTGGTTCGATAAAATACATGCAAATACCCATAAGCGATCACTGGAGCCAGAATCTAGCTAGTTTCTTTCCACAAGCAATTCAATTCATTGGTGAATACAACCTACAAAATCAAAGGAAAAATAAGTTCTAATTACATGTAAATTTGAGATATAATCATTTCTCCATCTTTCAGAGGAGGCTCGAAGTTCAGACAAAGGAGTGCTGGTTCACTGTCTGGCCGGAGTGTCTCGGTCCGTCACTATCACTGTAGCCTACCTTATGCACAAGTGCAGTCTCAGCTTAAACGATGCCTTCAACCTGGTGCGCAGCCGAAAATCTAATGTGGCTCCGAATTTCCATTTTATGGAGCAATTGCACAGTTTTGAGAAAGAACTAAGGGATAGAGGTGACAGAAGTAGCAGGGGGAACGATCAGAGGTGTATCGGAGCGTGCAGGCCTGGAGCACCATGTAATTGTCCAGCTCCCAGCTTCCTTAGTCCCATTGATCTGGGCCTTAGCCCGGATTCTGGAATAGAATTCGACAGGTGGGCATCAAGTACACCGGCAGAATGAGACGGGCCAGGGGGGACCCAATACAAATTTTAGGTCCCTCCTAGTACGCCGCCATAGTAACAAGGGAAGCCCTAATTGAAGGGTGCGGGAATGAAAATTTACATTTCTGCTAAGAGAAAAATAATATCTTAAGGCGAGAAACGCAATGATCGTAGTAGATTGCAATTTCAAATATACTGCGACAATTAAAAATTTGGAATCACTAGATATTTTTAAAAAAGCAGAGATTTTCATTTAAAAAATTTACAATTTTAAATTAGCTTAAAAACTGTTTAATTACTAGTTAAATTTATTATTAATAACTGTGCAGTATTAATTCTGAATTAACAGAAGATTCACAATTAGTACAACAAGCGGGTAATTTTAAACTTTTGTGGTAGAGTTTTGCCACAAAAGTTTTGTGTACTAGGTCGTGCACAGTGAAAGAAATACGATGAACTCAAACAAAATTGTTAAAACGGCTGAACCTTTCTAGTATTTTTCTATCCAGTAATGGAAATTGTTTCTGTCGAGGCTTTGCAAGCCACGGTTCTGTACTATCGCTTCAGGAAAAAAGTTAAAAAATAATGGACACAATATAGTTTCTCTTTCAGAGGATGATTTTTAATTTGACGAAACTACGATTGTAAATCTTTATCTAAGCGTAAGTGTTGTTTATAATTTAGGGGGAAAAATAGGTAGGACAGCTACAAAAGGGTTCTATGACTCTTTCGTTTCTAAGTTGTCGTGATATAGTATTAAACACTGAAAGTATTTTGTAAATTCAACTCTGTACTTTCTTACAAATAATTAATGTAATTGTAATATCAAGATGATCGGCTAAAAATTCAAGATTCTTTTTTTAATAGCGTCTGAATTCGTTCGACTCTCGATCCATTTCTAGGATACAATTTTATACATATGAGATATCTATATTTTTAATACTTGTTCCCAGAACCCTTCAATTAATGAGGCTGT